GATAATACAATATCATTCAGGTGCAGTTTGGCCTTCCGAGCCTTGCTTAGGAATTCTGATTTCTTCGTACGAGAGTTGAAGCGGGCTAGCAAATTCTTTGCGCCAGCTTTCACGGTCGAGACACGGTGAACAACGTCGAGATCAGTGGGTGCCAGTTTACAATCAATCTTATCACCTATAGCTTGCATAATCGCAACGCAGTTTTCACCTCCTGTCACCGGGATTCCCTTGATCTCGACGTTATTAATCCTGGAATATTGCTCCATTTGTGAGACTTTCAGAGATAATGCCGCATTTTGTGCTTTTAACGCCTTGTTCTCAGCAATCAGAGAGGCGTTATCTCTCTGCAAACTTTCTACGACACCATTCACGTACTCGGCAGTAGCTACCAGCTCACCTATTTGTTTATTGATGTCAGCGAAGTTCACACCTGATAGCTGTGCTTTGACGATGAACTTGTTAAAGATGGCATCAACCAAATTATCAGGACATTCGTTCAGTCTAGCCTCAAGATCAAGAATTTTTTTGCTCAGCTCAGCAGTAGTAGGCATTGCCCAAAATCGAGCAAGGCAGTACAGATATGTGCAACACGATTAGACGCAGAAGATGATAAGCGAAAATTATGGCAGCGACGACAGTACAACGGCAGTGCAGACGCAAGGAAAGTGGGTTATTATTACTAACCTGCGTAGTAGAAAATCGTGCGTAAGTACAAGAGCGAAGCTTCGTTGCACTGTCGCCGTTGCCAATGGTGTCCAACCGTGAGCCTCGGCTTCTTTATATGATGATGGCAGCCGATGTGAAGCCCTCTAGCGGAGCACCAGTGTAAGTATCTCCGCAATGCAAAGACAGATTGATGACCGCCGTTCCACACGTGTCGTCAGAGACAGCGCAGCAGGCTTGCTGCGCTGTCTCTGACGACAGTGCCGCTGAAGAAGCTTCAGTGCCGCTGAAGAAGCTATCGCCGAAAGTGGGCGTTTGCCCTGGCGAACGCTGACCCGCAATCGTCACGTTTGAAGTTTGAAGTTTATTTCACCACAGTGTTACAACATACAATGTGTGGTGCGGAATGCGGAAAAAAAAGCTGCGATAAAAACGCAGCTTGACTAGCCCCACATCCCATCAATACAAGGCAGAAAAAGTGACAGTATTCATAAAGTCCCGTAAACAACTAAACAGGCACAAATACATAATTTGAAGTGGCACCAGCAAGAAATATTGCATACTTAAAATTTTAAGAAATGTTGATAGGATCGCACTCTTTGGGGAAATACGAAAAAATAGAAATAAGCAGAACATAAAAACAAATCTTTGAAAATGGCTAAATCTCTTTTGCGTCATGAAAGTAAAAAAAAGATATTTGACATATCCTGTCGCGAAAGAAGGCGCAATTGTTCCAATGATAAATTGAATTTATTTAGTATGTGGGTGAGTGAATGTTTCAGCATTTGTAGACCATAGTTTGTTCGGCATCGAGGAACCTTCCAATAATCGCTCTGTCTAGTAGGTCGAGACAAAGTGCTGCGCTCTAAGCATGCTATGGAGATAAGATTGTTACTTCCTTTGTTAATTTCAGTTTTCAAAGACGCCAGTGAACAATATTCATACATGTTGTCAAATCTTATGACTCTGAAATTGTTGAATAAGTGATTTGATATGTGGGGTTTAACGTCCCAAAACCACTATATGATTATGAGAGACGCCGTAGTGGAGGGCTCCGGAAATTTCGACCTCCTGGGGTTCTTTAACGTGCACCCAAATTTGAGCACACGGGCCTACAACATTTCCGCCTCCATCGGAAATGCAGCCGCTGCAGCCGGGATTCGAACCCGCGCCCTGCGGGTCAGCAGCCGAGTACCTTAGCCACTAGACCACCGCGGCGGGGCTTGTTGAATAAGTGGCGTTGACGTCGCAACGCCACTTGTTCGGTGTAGACACTGCGCCGCGTCGCCTATAGGCAGAAGGAAATTGGGTGTCTTTTTTTCCTACTTCAAGAACTCAGCATTCATGATTGGGCGCGGCGTTGTTGTTAGCTTTGGACATCGCGGACAACAACACTACGTACAAGGAAAAGACGGGTCTCCTGCTTGCATGACATGTGGTGGCTTCCCGGATAATGCTCACGTTCTGTTGTGCTGTCTGGGTGGTCTCGCAGCCATGGGCGAGAGCCACAAGCACATACCCATAAACCTAAGACCTGCGACCCTAGAGGAGTGGCTAGGGGACTCCTCCCCGGACATCGTGAAGACACTGCTCCAGCATTTGCAAGTTCTAGGTCTATCTGATGGATAGGTTTTTTTATTTAGTAGACCCGGACCGGGGTTCTTTTATTTTTTTTTTAAATAAAGCTGTTCTCTCTCTCTGGCGCGGGCTAACTCGGCGTGGTGGTTTGCGGAATCCGCCCACTACCGGCGCTTTCATTCCTGTTCGCGAATTAGCGCGGCTTGGAAGGCTTCCTGATCATCGGTACGCAGTTGCTGCCAGAACTCGGCCTCACGGGCCTGTTTTTGTGCCAGGACTGCGCCATCGGCCTGGCAAGTGCGAGCTCTGTCACGTTTCTACTGTCCGCGCCAGAATTCTAGAGTTGTCCGTGGCGTACGCATGTGGAAGGTTTCAGAATAAACTGATGCGGGCGCGCTCGGCGCCACAGCTGCGGCGAAATGGACGACGTCATTCACAACGCAGCCAATGACGCGTGTGCTTGCGCACGACGCTGAGAATGACGTAATTGATAGGACAGCCAATGGAGACCGCTCGTGACACAACTGCCGCACAGTTTTTCGTTTCTCCTAGCCGTATAGAGCTTTTTCTGTAAAACAACCATCCAAGGACTGCGTACATACATGGGTGCAAATATTCATAGGATGGTGAAATAAACACCTTTATGATGTTTGGGGATGCTAGCCAAGCCTAATGGCTGCTTTTAAACCGTTCCGCTAAGTTTAGACAGAAACGATGAGGAAGCCGATGACAATGATCATGGCACTCACTATGATGACGACGCAGTTAAAAATGTAAACGTCATGGAACAAACAAACATCTGCATAATGCAGTTAAGCACGGTAATTACAAAACGACTGTGATTTCAGCCAGGATATATTTTCATGGCTTACCTTACTCCAGTAGCGGATCCAGAGGGGGTGCAGTAAAGACGATCCCCCCGCCCACAGCCTGTCAGCACACCCTCCCCCTCTATTAAATGCTTGCCATCCACCTGCTATCACCAGTTAGGACAAATTAGTGGGACCACTGTGAGCGCACATTAACAGTATTTATGCAACTACAGTGTTTTTGTGCTAGTAAAAACAAAAAGTAATGACCACGCCCACCTTTCAGGCGTTAATTCAAGTGACCGCCCCCCCCCCCCCCTCTAATGGGTGGATGGATCCGCCCTTGCCCCACTCCCACTATATACGTGCCACGACCGAGGAACATTAACAATAACCATCATAAGATGTGATGGGAATGCAAATGCAGCATTTTATGACGACCTGCCACGCTCGAATAACTTGAAAGCGCCTCTGTAGTATGAAATGCAGAAGTGGCGCTTTGCCTTTCTGGTAAAACATCCTGCAGTCGAAGGAATACGTTTAGGTCATTCGAAGAGCAACGCTTATGGTCTACCCCTCCAAATGTGTGGCACCAAGCTACTGAGGAACCAACCAACTTTATGCCACACACGACTGTTTCAATGGGGCTACCATATCCGAACTATACCTGGCCATCACTAAAACGGGACGGAAAACACTACCAGAACTTCGCATCATTCGGAGGAGAGGGAAACAGCGTATCCCACATAAATGGAGGCAGGACTTCGTCATCGAGCCACTACCACACAACATGCGTCTACAGTTTCACAAATATTGACGTGGAGCACGGGGCAAAGCTCACGATATTCATATGTGGGGTTTAATGTCCGAAAAGACGCCGCAGTGTAGGGCTCCGGAAATTTAGACCGCCTTGGGTTCTTTAACGTGCACGCAAGTCTGACCACACGGTCCTATTGCATTGAACCCTCCATCGAAAATGCAGCCGCCGCAGCCGGGATTCGATCCCGTGACCTGCGGGTCAGCAGCCGAGTATCTTAGCCACTATAGACCACCGCGGCGGGGCGGCTTTGCTGTAAACGTGCGTGCTTTGCTGTAAACCTGTGCAGAAGAAACTTGCGGCGGCATACCAATTCTACTTTTGCATCATGCATTGCGACTTCGGTTTGGTAGGTTCTTTGTTACCCAACACACTATAAGATTCCGCCATGAGACGTGAAGGCCACACCGAGTTTGTGTCAAAAATATTACAGCAGAGGCCCGCCTGCTTAGATTTAGGTGCACCTTACGGAACACCGTGTGGTTTATATTTTCTTAGTTAATATGTCGTGGGTTTGGTACGTCACAACCTTACAATTTAAAATATTAAACGTCTACCAATCAGTGATGGGTGTTTTTGACACAAATGAGGATAAGATCACGCCACACTGCCAAGTCATCGCTGACAATCAAATTAGGCGTAACCACATGCACGTGCGAACCTCTAAGCACAAGCGAGGCAAAATTCCAGGAGATCATTTTGTATCTGCGTGTTAACTACTGGGCAATTTCACCGCCGGTGGGTCGTTGTGAAGAGACAAATGGTTTCAATAGATTGAAGCTATATTGTTTTCTTATTTCTAACACAGGAGTGACTATCATAACGGTTTCATGATCTCTGCACTATCCGTTGCAAGTCCAGGATAAGTATATTGAAACGTTTCCATTTCGAATTAAGCATAAAATTTCCAGGTGTTGGTGACCTGCAAGTTACCTTGAGCGATGAACAAGAGCAGTTATCCGGGCAGCTCAACGAGGCCATCGGCGCATCGTTGCGAGACCAATGCGACGTGACCATCTGGGCAACCAGTCAAAATAATATCACGGCACGTGTCTATCCTGCAGTTTTTTCGCAGCAGTTCGCGTGTTTGCGTAACGATTTCATGAAATACAAATGACAACGAGCACACCATCTTCTGATGATGACAAAGTGTTTCGATGTTTCTTTATTGACGTCACGGGTAAACGCACACAGTGAGTTTCCTGCGTCAGAGGCCGGTGGTCGTGCACGTCGCCGGGGCAAGGGCTGTCATCTAGTAAGGGCGTTCACGGCTTTCTTCCGAAATGCTGTCACTCAGCGTTTTAGGGGGGGTCGAGTGGGTTCTTTATCAAACCCCGTCTCCCCCACAGGGACACCCGACGGGGCCCTCCGGTCAGCATCTCTCTCGAACTCGCCCATCGACGACGGCTAGCCGCCCCAGGCGATGCACTTCTGCTGTGGGTTCATGGGGCTGCCCTCTTGGCAGCCGAAGACCCGGGAGAACTCGCGAGAGTTCTTCAGCGCCAGCATCACCCTGCGTTCAGGGTTTTGAAGGTTTAGGGTTCGATTCACCGGCGAGCCTCGACTTGTCACATATAAAGATATTTTTAAGGATGGGCACTAATACTTCTGAAGGTAATTCTGCTCTCTCCTCAGTGTCGTCAAAGTCGCGCTTCTAAAAAAAAAGTGAGTTTACGTGAATCTTAAGAGTCACGTAAAGCTCAACAAAGTGAGCCCAAAAATGTGAACGCAGTAAGAACACCTGTACGCTTGCCGATTGTAGCCATGGCGCGTACTCCAAGTAAGCACGCCAGTGTTTTTCGCTGTTTGGAGACCTTGGCATGTCATTTGCTTGTTAATGCGTTAGGCACCCGTGGACAGGCGTTTTTTTTGTTTCTTGCCGCGATGCCGTCCTCGACTATTACGTTTTTCTTTTCGCAACATTTCACACACCGGATTATCCAATCACAGCGGTACACTTTGTGCTGGATGCCTCATATGTTTTGCTTCTTGCATTAGAAGAGGAAGATCATTACTTGATCATTAATTACTGAGCAGTTCTGCCAATATCTTGAGACATATGTTGGAACACGCATGTAAGCGCGCGCGCGCGCGCGCGCGCGCACACACACACACACACACACACACACACACACACACACACACACACACACAGAGAGAGAGAGAGAGAGTGAGAGAGAGAGAGAGATGAGGGAGAACTGTCGCTGAAAAGTGGTTATTCGCTGACAAGGCTAACTCGACTGCCGGTGCTGCTGCATCACTACCCGCTAAGTTTGCAACGAGCTGCAGTTTTTCGTTCGTCGCAGATACGCTTACCTCTCTTTTACGAAGGCTTTGTTGGAGCCGTACATTTGATACATCATGTAGTCTTGGTTCGCTTTCACACAGTTGTCCTGGGAATGGAATACAAAGAGATAGAGACAGAGAAAGCGTTTCAAAATACTTACGGCTGCAGTAATAATTTACTAACGTCCTCGTCATCTTCACGCGAATTAATTAATCAACGGGTAAAATGCGCGGGCGTACATTTAACGCACCGTGCTCTACAGTGACTGCATCAAATGGGCGGGCCGGTTCGCTTGGTTTCATGATACTTGTGTTTGGCGTTAGCTTACAGGGACACCGAGAAAATATACACGTCTGTTCGTTTCCTTTTTCTTATCACTCTTCAATGAGTCAAGCTGCACTGCGGTAATTCAATCAGATTATTGTGGGTTTTGTCTGTTACTTTGTCGAGGTTGTAGTTCTGTCAGAGAGTCAGCGAGCGTCTTATGATTAAGGTCACGGTAAAAGGTGACGTCATAAACTTTTCATAACTAAATAACAACAACAACGTGGTCAAAGATTAACTTAGGGTACACTTTAAGGCCGCGGGAACATTGCTCTTTCGCAAGCGAAGTTTATAACTCACCGTAATAAATGGCTTATGTACAAAAAAAAAGAAATAAGAACGACGCTTGTTATTCAAAGAAATGCGACCCTCAAAAAAAAAAAAAAGCATGTGCTTGTATGTGTTGTTTTCCAATAACTGGTGCTCTTTATCGGCGATCAGTTGTTTCTGATATGATGATCTCATATTTTATTGAGGGTACTTGTCATTCCATGTGGTCACGTACGTTTCATTGTTGCCCGAATACAAACGCACGACCGACCGTCTTTGTTGCCTGCGGTAGCTGAAGTGTTGCGCTGTTCAGAACGTGGACAACGGTCCCAATCGCGGATTGTAGCGCGGAGGAAAAGGTTAGGAGAGAGCATTGCACATTACAATGGAAAGAACGAAAGAAAGAGTGCTAGAAAAAGAAAGAGAGAAGCATACCAGGCACGCACTCGCCAAGTTTGTCCTGTCCCCATTTTCGCGAGAGTGCAAGAGCTTCTGAATCATTCTCTCGAGCTTGCGCATGCAAGTTCCCAGCAATTTCCCAGCGAGTGCTTATGTTTCAACAAACCTGGAAAGGCGCTGGGAATTGCAGCTGCGCATGCACTCACCAAGACGTAGTATATGAAGAAGAGCTTATCCGACGAGAGGTGTTCAGCGTTCATCAGACGGAAGTCTCTCTGCCATATCCTGAAGACGTTCAGCAGCTGATGGAAGGCCTGCGGACAAAGCAGAGACAGCGCGTCATACGTGACTTTGTAAGGATCGTCTCGTTCAGTGACGTCAGACAGTAGTAGGCTGTTGTGTAGTGCGTACTCGTTGAAGTCGACTGGGAGCACTTATAGTAGGCTGACTGGAACGGCGTCCTCAGCCGCTTCAAATGTAACTTATGAAACAAGAACTTTGCAACGCGTCGTATGTGTCGCGGTGTAGAAGCATGACACGAAACTGCTAATCATCGTTGTAAATGTGGATTCAATGCGAGACCCTCGGACGCGGCAAAGCACATCGTATACCGGGTGTTCCAGCTAGCTTGTGCCAAAGCTTATAGACACGTAAATACAATGTGTATAGATTGACAGAAACAAAGCAGTGCTACTTGCAGCTGCCTCTTACAACACCCCGAATCAATTTAACCTAGTCACATAATAGTTAAATTCTAATAATTCAATATTTATAATCTCATAACTACATTATTGGGGTCAATTGTAAAATTGTAGGCATTCAACAGTAACTTTTACCAAGTCTTACGATTCTCTCAAATGATGCATAAATGTTTTTATAAGAGTGTGAAACTAAAGTCCCAATGCAGAGAAAATTCGATAGGCCAGTAAAGCCATCGACAAATTCACCATACGAATTTCGGCCACGGCGACAGCATTTCATTTGAGACAAAATACTAGGAAGCCCGTGTTTTCAGGCTTAGGTGCATGTTAAAGAACCCCACCTGGTCGAACTTTCCGGAGCTCTGCGGTATACGGCGTCTCTCAGGAATCGTATGCTGGCTATTGGGACGTTAATTCCGCACAATGCATTATGGTCATTATTAGTGAGCTTTTCATACGTTTCCAAAGCTTAGATAAAACAATTTGAGTTCTCAGAAATGGGATATTTGAGAACCACGTCGTGCTTTAGCAGAATAAAAAAAAAACAGTTACAGAACACCTCAGCATTTCATCACAGGATACATTTGCGTACGGGGCACTAAAACCTTTATTCGTTTCACAGTGTGCCCGACAGACCGAGAAAAATTGGACTAAAGGCGTACGCAGCTGCAGCATAAAATGAACACACTATATGGTGTTACACAGCGTCACGCAATGTTTTATACAACGTTACACTACGTGTCATAGAGTGCGTCATTTATACAGTGTTATGAAGCATTGGTACAATGTCATTAATTACGACGAATAGGTTCGGATGACGAGTTTTCTGTTAAATTATTAGCTGCCTGTATATGGGCTTTCTGGGGGCTTTGCGTTTTTGGTTATGCCATTTAGATCATTGCATTTCGATTGACAATGTCCGCCACTGAACGAGATGTTTTTTTTGCCGTTCTTTCTTTTTTCTTTCCTTATTTGCCTTGCTTTTTGTTGCCTGATGTGTCACTTAGCCTATAATAATTACTTATCACTCTATATTGTATAATTGATTTCCATTCACTCGTTGCTTGTTAACTTGATCTGATTTATTGATTGTTATAATGCATCGAGGGTCCCGTTACAGTTTTTAACTTTGGGACCCTCGTCTGTATATTATTATTACTGTACTACTTTTTTGAAATGAATAATAAACTGAAACTGAAACTGAAACGTAGGTACGTACCTTGAAAGCAGGCGTGATGGCGGCGCTCTCTTCGAACACAGACTCGCGCACCGTCGATCCGTTGAGCTGAGTCATCGAGAAAGGGCGGAAAGGAAGAAGCATACGTCATGAGCTTTGCTGTCGTGTACGCTATTTCATCACATTGTATGTGGCTTCAGCTGTAACTGAGAAATCGTTAAACAATGAATATTGATGGAGACAATGTTTCGCCAAGGTGACTTCGGTGATGTTTCCTATTCAACGATTTCTCTTCACGTAAAAAGCTTCCAGTCAACTTCTAGTTGACTGGCAGAACATGGGAAGGCATTTGTCCTGCAGTGGACGTAGTCAGGCTGAGGAGGACTGAAAACTTCCATCTGTCCCCGTAATTCTATCTGTGAGTTCGCGGTTAAGATCACCAGATGGGCGGAATTTCCGGAGCCCACCACTACGCGGCTTGCCTGATAATCGCATCTGGAGCTTAGGACGTCAAAACCCCCGAAATTATGCTTAGTGTCACTTCACCTGCCTTGACCCTTTAATGCTCGTCGATTCAATTCAGCTCACGATGTTAGCAACGAGCAGTTCTTTTATTCGAAAAAGAAGCCGAAAACGCAACTACTAACAGACCTGCAATAGCGTACGAAGCCTCCAACACAAGGACTATCACTCTAAAAAAAAAAAAGAGCGAGTAAAAAGGGTGTCTTTTTGGCCCACAACAATAATTGTCATCTATATTGCGTTCCATCCTTGCGCTATCGCCCCGCGTCTGGTACATTCCGGTCACGATCGACATGCCCATTATCAAGGTTACATTGCATTTTCGATAGGAAAGTGGCCAGCGCCGAGTTTTCAAGAAAGGAAGCGCACGCAAGCCTGATGACGATTATTGTTGTGGGACAAAAAGACACCCTTTTTAGTCGATATTTTTTTAGAGTGTAGAGCAATCCGTACACTGCCGACTATGGTATTTATGGATCAATGCGCCATGGATTACTCTAGTAAATCTTGCAGGAAACTATGCTTTAGGGTCCCTTTAGAGTCTCGTGCCTGAATGTTCGTTAATGAGCGTAGTTTGAGGAAAGGAGGTCACCTTGTGACCCGGGTTGTTGGGGTCATCGAGCGCGCTGTACTGGTCGGAGAAGCACTGCAGCTTCCTGGCGAAATTCTGGGCGGACGTCTCGCTCCACACCATTTCGGGAAACACCTTGCCGGTGTCGTAGTAGTAGCCTGAAAGCGAGCGAAAACGGCTGCAAAATTCTAAACAGATTCCTAGTTTTTGAAGTATTTATAAAAGGCAATGATTAATGGCTAGGAAAAACATGATCCCAAGAATCCACATGCCTCTTCACTTCAAGAATTCTACAAGTAATCTTGCGATTGGACACATGGAAACCGTACAGCACTGTTTTTCTTTTTGCTCTTACCACTAAGTGCTGAGCAGGTTCGCATGGCACAACTATACCGAGTTATTTTATGTTAAAGCTGTGTGGGTTAAGAAGATTCCTAAGGCTCGACATGCCACGAAAATATTTTGCTGACTTTCTCTAGAAGAAGCGGTAGAGCAAGCTCGCAGCAAAAAAAAAAAAAAAAAATGCCCTAGACACCCCCCTCCCCCTTAATTCTTGACAAAAGCGAGTGTTTTGCTACAAATAGCTTGCTATCTGTAGCAAAGCAAGTTTTGCCACAAATAGCAAGCTATTTGTGGCAAAACTTGCTTTGTGCGTACTTTTGTTTCTGTGTGTTTTTATCTTCATGTTTTGAAAATTTGTTCGTCTGCATATTGAGCATTCATGTAATTCATGTAACAAACTCTGCGAAAATCCCTAGTAGAGATTGTAGTATAAATAAATAAATAAATAAATAAATAAATATAACAAAAACAGATGGTTTTCTGAAATAGTAGTAGTGGCCGCCAGGAAGTGCCCCCTCGCCCAACCTCCGAAAAATATGCCTGGCCTAGGGCAGAGGGAAAAATATAGGAGACTGTTTAAAAGAAATTTCAACTGGAGATTGAAAGGACATGGACGTTAGCTTCCACTTCTCGTGAGCTCTTCACCCAATGATGCAGAACCCAAACCCGGGAAGACGAGAAGACTAGTTCCAACAAATTTTTCACGTATTAACGACAACGCTCCATTTGGTGCGCGTGCGTGCGTGTGTGTGTGTGTGTGTGTGTGTGTGTGTGTGTGTGTGTGTGTGTGTGCGTGTGTGTGTGCGTGTGCGTGTGCGTGTGTGTGTGTGTGTGTGAGAGAGAGAGAGAGAGAGAGAGAGAGATATGCAGCAGTGACTTACTCTTTTCGTATATCATCCTTGTCATGGCTCTCGTCAGCCGGACACCGTAGCGCGCAGAGTGAACAACACTGCACGAAACAAAGAAACAAGGTTAAGTCTTTCATTAATTCATAACCGGGAAGACAGAAAAGCAAAACTGCTGGGAGTAAGGTAATGCGAAAAAAAGAATTTGTCGAAATGGCAAAGCTGGCCCCAGTGTTGCGGTGTACTCTTCACTCGAAAACATCCATCTGTTTCTGTAATTCTATCTGTGAGTTCACGGTAAAGATCACCAGATGGGCAGAATTTTCGGAGCCCTTCACTGCGGATTCCCTTTTAATCGAATCTTGAGCTTGCGACGTGAAACTTCCGAAATCATGCTTTGTGTCACTTCACCTGCTTGATACCTAATTAAATAACTAAATAATCGATTAATTATTTCGCACGTACGACAGCGCAATAATCGTTATGGCAGGAGTGGGCTGCAGGACGCAATGTACACCGGAAAGGTTATATTAATGTACAGCATTTAAATATCAGTTAAGTAAATACATTTGTTCATTAGACGAGGATGTGTTACGGATAAATGTCTTTGATGATGAATTTAAACGTAGTGCGTGGATAGTAATGTACCAAGTATAAGTTGTGGACATGAATTCGTTCAGGAGATTAAATAGAATTCATCGAAAAGTAATTGTCTTCTAATAAAATACAACAAACAGACAGATGACTAAAGCTTTGCAATCCAAAAAGATTCGGCGCTACGCGAGATGCATTACGTCTGGAGATTCGATCCGGAAATATACGTGAGGATTTCCGGCCTAATGTCCTCCCGAAGGCGCGTGTGTGTCTAGCACAGCTCCAGGGATGGAACAATTTCGTTTTTTTTATTTTTAAACTTTGCAAGTTTTCTTCGAAGTCGTAGGCTCGCTTCGCAGTTGTGTGAATGACAATTTCTCTTCCGTGAGTGTTCCTCCGGTGCGTCGGAGAACCGATGAGCAAAAAGTCTATTTTCGAAAACAACAACAACAACAACAACAACAACAACAACAACAACAACAACAACAACAACAACAACAACAACAACAACAACAACAACAACAACAACAACAACAACAACAACAACAACAACAACAACAACAACAACAACAACAACAACAACAACAACAACAACAACAACAACAACAAAGCCCTGCATTTCAAGAAACCTCCTTCTGTTCTCGCATGTTTCTCTCGACAAAGTTTTGGGAAAAGGACTGATGTTTAAAAATAAATGAATTCTCTGCTATAGCAGAAAGGTGGCCCAGACTATCCTTTGTCTATTTTGTCGTTTAGGCGAGGTATTAAATCGTAATTAAGTCGCACACCAACTAGAAAAAAAGGTGTTTTGTTTAGACAGGTATGAAGGTTTTACTCCTAAAATGTCCAAACATCATAGCATGCTTCTTGCATTAATAATTAGATATTAAGGTTTGTACGTGCATCAATTTACATGATTATATTATGATTATATTAGTACGCAATTTTATAAGTATAGAGTTGACTCAAGCTAAGTCGAGGAAGACGCTGGGAAACTTACAAGACTGAACTGTTGGTAGGTACCGATGTGTTGAACAGACCCATCGGGATGACTGAAACAAAAGAAAGGATTATACGAAATATCATTATGATAGAAGAATACAGAAGCGCATCGGTGGGGTACAATCTGAAGCATGACGAAAGCGGACTAAGAGGAAAGATGTGCTCATTTCCGAGCACTGCGATTCTCCTCCCACCACCCTTTCTTCTTTTGATACAGGGTGCTAGGGCTGAAACAACGTAAACATAACCGTACACGTCTTGTGCTTTTGGGTGATTGACATTCTCCAATGCAGTGTCTATTGAGAGCTTTTACAAGACCATTGTAGACATTTAACTAACAGTTCAGACTATAGTACACAGCTGCGAAGCTGTGGCATTTTCGGCCCAACAAAATGGAGAAGCTGCATGCATCGTTGCTACTGTAATTAACAGGCGAATTTACTTACAGACGGCCTGCCTCTGCATGTCGTACATGACTTCAGTGTCGAACACGCTGCCGGGCCACCTGTAAACGAAAGCCCGTAAGTCGGATCACGAGTTTGCTCTTTTGTATTTTAAATGTGAATGCCGCTCACCATGGTGCCATACAGCCTGCAGCATGATCATGCGGTAATTCGCACTTGTAACACTAATGCGCATAGGGGTAGGTTCTGATGGCCCACATGGGCACCAGGAATCTCTTTATTAGTTATGTCCTTTTGTACTCTCTCTATTTAGACAGTTAAGTTTGCGTCTCTCTGGTTGGGCATGTCGTCCACGGGAAATCTTCCACGGGAAATCTTCCCACATAGAGTCGCGCAGGCATATAGGCCCAAAGAATTGGGTCAGAGACTGAATAAAATTTGCTACTCTTTCCTAATGTGTGCGATAACCGATTTCCAGACTTATTTATTAGAATAAGGGTGTACAACGCTCAGATAGCTTCCCTTCTGTACAACTTGATTTCATTTCATTTATTCGGGGATATTCACGGCCCGCGCGAAGACATCAAAAGGAGACTGTATCCTCACTTAACACATGCTTTGTACGGCCCTTCAGGTGCGCACAGCTAAAGAAAAAACAAAAATATACAATAACGCATCTATCTACGTACATATACCAAAGTGACCCTGCAGAGTTAGAACTACGTCCTTCAGCAGAAACGACGCACTGACTGCATGATTGAACGCTATGCAAGTCGAATTTTCCTCTCGAATTTCACCTGCACGTAGTATAGAAATGAATAGAACAATAGAGAAATACTACATACGTGACGTCTTCGAAGTTACTAATAATAATAATAATAATAATAATAATAATAATAATAATAATAATAATAATAATAATAATAATAATAATAATAATAATAATAATAATAATAATAATAATAATAATAATAATAATAATCCTGACTTTGCCCACCGCAGGAAAAACGCCTCTCCCATGCTCCACCATTCATTCATAATCCCATATGCCCACCTAACTTTGTCTCCCCCTCAACCGCTTGCCTTCTCTGGGAATCCAGTCAGTTACCCTTAATGACCAGCGGTTATCCTGTCTACGCGCTACGTGCCCGGCCCATGTCCATTTCTTTTTGATTTCGACTATTATGTCCTTAACACCTGTTTGTTCTTTGATACACTAAGCTCTCTCCTTGTCCCTTGGAGTTACACCAATCATTTTCATTTCAATTGCTCGTTGTGTCGTTCTCAACTTAAGCTGAACCCTCTTAGTAAGCCTTCAGGTTTCTGCTCCGTAGGTAAGTAGCGGCTATATGTAGCTGTTATGTACCTTCCTCTTGAGGGATAGGGGCAATCTACTATTCATGATATGAGAATTCTTGCCAATGTGCTCCATCTCATTGTTGTTCTTCTAGTTACTTCAGTCTCGTGCTTCGACTCCGTGGTTACAACCTGTCCTAAGTAGACGTACTATTTTACAACTTCAAGTGCACTGCTGGCTATCTGAAAGCACTGTTCTCTTCCGAGGTGGTTGTACATTACTTCCGTTTTATGCAGATTAATCTTAGGACCTACCTTGTCTAATTCAGTAATCATTATTTGCAATTCGTCCTCTGAGTTACTCAGCAATGCAATGTCATCGTCGAAGCAAAGGTTACTACTCTCCATTAACTCGTATCCCTAAGGGCCAAACCTCATAAGCGCGAAAATGCACGCGACAGCGACGAGCGATGCGACGTAGATCGTCTTCGCGCGATCAGTCGCTAGCGCAGGCAAACCTCATTCACGCGACGGCTTCGGCGAGCGAATTCCACTGTTGCTGGCATGAGGCCGTCTACTCGCACCAAGAAAACCGCGTAGCAAGCGGTATGCCATTTAAAAATAAGATATATTGTTGTGTAATGGAACGGAAAGTGTTTATGAATGCCTTGCAGCACTTTTTTTTATATGCACATGCGTAAACATTGCGTTATTTCTTGTTGCACACACGTGACTCGGGCAGGGTCACGTGCACCTATGTAGCCTGTCTTTTCCGGTTTTTCGCTATTGGCTGCTTGAGCTCAGCACTTCCGGGCGATGAGCGACGGTTACCAAATTTGGAGAACCGAGCGATCGCGCGAAAACGAGCACGTGACGCGTCGCGCGAACGACCTGTTTCGTCGCTCATAGCATCGCTCGTCGCTGTCGCGTGAATTTTCGCGCTTATGAGGTTTGCTCTTAACTCTTCTCATTCTAGGCCTCTGAACACTTTCTGTAAGTACGCGGTGAATAGCGTTGGGGAGGCCGTATCCCCTTATTTACGTGTATATTTACAGTAAGGATGTACAAGTGTGGAGAATAACCGCTTCATCACGCCGTGGGTTGATCGGCGCTGCGATGCATTATACACTATACTTGAAGTTATCTCTCTCGCTACATAGATTTGTTTTAACTGGCCGACTTGAAGCTCCAGTAGTGCACCCGTTTGCGTACCGCTCCTTTCATCGTTTTTTTTTTCCACGGCACTCATCCGCGAACCGGGACAAACACCTACGTCTCAGAGCCTTCAGAGTTTTCCAAAACTATTTAGGAGGCAAGTCGCGGAAAAAGTAAAACGTTTTGAACACTGCGCAAAATTTTCGAGAAGTATCGTGAATCAATATATATACATATATTGCCGTGTTGACGAGAAAGGGAGATCATATGGCAGATAATTGTTTCTACTTTTTTTTTCAGAGAGACAATTTAAGCATTCATTTCGTACTCACTGCTTCATCCGGGCTTTCTGCGTCGTGTACGCCTTGAAGATGTCGTCTCTGAAGTGCTGCACGTACGTGAAGTACTGCTTGATGGCGTCTGTGCCCGTTGCCGATGGCAGCTGCGTGGTCAAAGGTTTTTCGCAATGTTAATTGCAATTAACCGTGTCTTAGGTGCCCGTAAGCTCAGCACTTGCAAAAAAAGTGTGCCATTTTTGCAAGAATTGTAGAACATTGAACACGTACCTCAGAAACACAGAGGCTGCTTCAATAATTAACCGAGGCTACCTCTACAGTAATTTCGTAATTTCTTAACACTTGCCACCTTACGGCTGAGTGTATAGAATGTTACTACACATTTTCTTCATGTCCGAGTCGAAGAACGCAAAAGTGCGGTAGCCTTAGTCAATGAGCGTAGAATTTGCACCAACGAACTTTTGAGGGCTAATGCGTAGCGCATTTTGACTCCTTTTTTTAAATTGAGTGCACTGTTGTTTTCTATATGAATATAACTTAATTCATGGCCGCTTGAACGTTCTCTTTTCATATATATGCTCCCTCTTTATGTAATACTGGGATAGGGGGCCTTTGAAAATTGATGATGATGATGATGATGATGATGATGATGATGATGATGATGATGATAAAATGAATATACTGTCATGCTTTTAGCATGGGGTATGTTCATGGCCAGAAAGCGACAAGCATGATTCCGCGGCCATCCTGCTAGTGGCCAGTGTCAAACTTGCTAATCCTTAATTCTCAGTGCATCACAAACGAACTACTTCGCAAAATGTGTATCGCATCATTAGTCGTCATACAGGCACTGGGGTAGTATGCGTTAGGAACACGGCGTGTGTAATGCGACGCAGGTATACCGTACCTGGGCAATGTGTTCGAAGAACTTGTCTTTGATGGCAACCCAGACGGGGTAAAAACTCAAGATCTTCTGAGACATGATCTGAAAGACAAGTAAATAACACCGGCTGTTGTCGTTGCGAAGGAAAATGTGCCACAGACAATCAACAAGTCAGCAGCCAACACCTATACCGCTCACTCTTCCCCTGCGCGCTCTCGGGCGACTACATCCAAGCACATCGTGCTTCTTGTACGCCGTCTTGTATACTTCAGACAAGTCGTAGTCGGGTTAAACGACGGAATCTCACTACAAAATATCCGAAGAATACACTTCACATAACGATTTCTGCTATCACATTGGTGGAACATTTCAAGCACTTGGAGGTTCAAGCATATTTAAGCGCATTCTAATATTCACACTGTGAACAAAGTCACCGAAATTTTCATTTAAACATAAAAAATGTCGCAGTTTCATCGCAAGAAAGAAGCCGTGAATGAGATAGCTACAAGTTGTAATGTTATATACGAAGTGTATATAGGCTGGAACGTATTCTTGTATTCGATCTCGCGTAACTCCATATACAAACTCTGTATATCTAAGAGAATATGGCCACTCCTGGAAGAGAAGCGGTTTTCGTCTAGTCTATTCGCGCGGAGAGCACTGCACGTAGAAGCGCACACGAATCGATCACTGATGTCAACGAGATAACCTCAGCGACTGCGCCTTTATAAGTTCTCACTATAGCTAATCGAGCGACATAGTACCTCAACCGTGCTTCCCCAGTATGCCTACATGCTCCTTATAAACGCCCGGGGTGTTTCCTCTCTTCTTGAGCTGCAATCGACGGCAGGCCTTGTACATGGGGTGGTGTATTGCATGCGCCCTCCGCGCGATGAATATGAGCAGGCTGGTTTCATCTCTGCTTCAGCCGCATTCGTCGCCGATCCTGCTCGCATGCTTTTACCCGTGCGTGGAACAGGGGGGAGGGGGAGATGTTGTCGTTGTGGGCTTTATGTGGGACATGACGGCGACGGCGAAGTTCGTCGCGAGTGACCATATAATTGGTAACGCAATAAAAGGTAAACGAGAGCATTTTTTTCTATATTGCTTTAAGAACACGGTTATATGTTATACAATGACGGAAGACGGTAAGTAAAAAGTTGTGTGCAAGAAAGACAATACAGCCGGGAAATCTAGATGACTGAAAGCAATAGACAACTGCACGCCAGTCACGTAAAGTACTTGTATACCCTCTCGGCACATGCAATATGTGAACGACGCAGCATTTCGGGTCGATTTCAGGCAGAGGAGCAAACCGAAGTACCGAATAGCACAGCTGTCTCAATAGTACTATAGATAGTACTGGCAATTGACGTCACCTCTTGCGCCTTACAGGCATATCGCTCTGTGATCTCGCTCGCTTCATGCTGGAACTGACGGGCAGGCGTAAATCAGTGACGTCACGTATGGGTATATACTAAGAGCGGACGGCCTCTTCGCTGTTGGAACAACCCAATACTTAAAATCGCCCAGGTAAATTTCTTGCAGCTGTAAGTAAGTTAACGGCATGAATCTTTGCCTAAAAGCCTATTGGTATAATTTGCATGTTTTCCCAGAATTCACTATTAGGCTCATAAGTAATAAACTGAGAGACCAGCGATCACAACACTTCAACCACATCCTTGGTGTTTGTTCCCTCGGTATACACTTGCAAGATACGCTACATTGGCAGTGCGATGTGGTTTCTCACCTTTCTTTCAGCGATGTACCTGGTGAAGCCATCCATCCACTTAGTTCGATTGATGTTTTCTGCAAATGTTCGGCCGATCTTGTCCGTGGTCATCCTAGCCTGGCAAAGAACGACACGCGAACGAACTGGCGTTTACCGAGAGTTTATTACGACCATCTTTCGTTTGATCGATCATTAGGAATACGTTTTTTTATTTAACAGGACATGTGTGGATGAAGGTAGTACATCACATTGTACACAGAGAATAGACGAAGGTCATGACAATCACAGAGCTGTCATGACTGACATGAAGCTGGGACTGACGTGAAGGGCTCGAGTTTCCGAAATTTGCTTTTCCAAAATTTTTAGTGCTACTACAACGACAATAATTGTGTAGCTTCTCCTCATGAGGGTTAAGCACACCGTAGAATCTCCCTGAGCTGTTCGGGGATGAATAATTTCAAGGTAATCTACAAAGCACGAGTGGCGCCGAACGCAATAGAGGCTACGGGCCTTCGGATTAAACTTATTCACCGAGCTCTTTGCTTTTATGGGGTTCACCAAATTCTCGACAAACGAGCATTGTAGAATTCCGTGTGCCTTCGCTAATTTTTGCATCAATGCACGGCCGCCACGAGCTGGAATCGAACCTGCAACCTCGTTTTAGGGCCTGTCTTACCTCTCCCAATTTTTCGCTTCCTCTTATAACTGTATAAAGCATATGAATTTTTTCTAACTCTTGTAATGACGTTATCTGTAGACACCATCATGCCTCAAGCAATGCCGTAAAGGAGTTTACTCAAATGACAATAATTCTTTTGTAAAACTATTGTTTTCGTCATACAGAACATTTCGTTGTGACACTGACAATATTTTTCCGCCCCCAGTAGCCCCCTTTGTGGGTTGAATAATTTTGCCAATAGACTCAGAACTTCAGAAACGAAGGAAAGAGTGATGGCTAATTATCACAACATTACCAACCAAGTGAAACCGACAGAACTAAAAAAACAAAGCGTTAGAGACACCATTTGTTGCTTTTGTAAGTGCATCGTAATAATTATGAACTAAAATAAAAAGAATTATGAAAAAAGCACCATTTTCGTCGGTGAGATTGGAAGCCGGAACCTTCGAAATACGCATCCGATGCTCTACCACTTGAGCTACGACAAGGCTCTAATGATGGAGCTTCGTCGTAGCTCCTTTGGTAGAGCGCCAATCGATACTTGTGTCTCAGTTAATATTTGCGTCTAACAAAGAGACAAGGGCCTCCAAAAATTTGCCTTCTTCCGCACAACATTACAAAAGAATATTGCGATGGCGTGACATCGGGCTCGGTCATAAGTCCAGCTGAAGTGCTGGACCCTACGGTGTATCACATTTACATATATATCCACAAACTTCGTGGTTCTTGGCGGCCAGGCTCTGTTGTACTGCTTTACGAGGCCTTTCCTGTTTTAAGCATTGCGATCCAGCGCCCCGCCGCCCTGGTCTAGTGGCTAAGGTACTCGGCTGCTGACCCGCAGGTCGAGGGATCGCATCCCGGCTGCGGCGGCTGCATTTCCGATGGAGGCGGGAATGTTGCAGGCCCGCGTGCTCAGATTTGGGTGCACATTAAAGAACCCCAGGTGGTCGAAATTTCCGGAGCCCTCCACTATGGCGTCACTCATAATCATATCGTGGTTTTGGGATGTTAAACCCCACATATCAATCAATCAATCAATCAATCAATCAATCAATCAACCAATCAACCAATCAATCAATCAATCAATCGATCAATCGACCCCTCGGTCCAGCGGACTCACCACAACCTCCCTGAAGGAGGTCTTGTTTAGGTGCTCCGAGTACATGTACAGAAGGTACAGAGGCACGGCGCGGTCGATGCTGTGCAGGCAGGCTCGCCAGCGTTCCACGTTCGGCTTGTAGATGCCGGTGAACTGCGTGTACCACACGTTGCGCAGCGCGTCCACGCTGTCCGGCAGGTACGGCGACAGATCCACCATCAGTCGGAAGCCGAGATAGTTGAGCACCACGTAGCTGCGAACGGAGAAAAAAAAATTCACAGCATATCCACGGGGTGAATGATGATGAGTGGGCAAAGCTCCTGAGGGGAAATCATCGCTAAAACCGTGACTGTTCAGTGAAAGTTCGCCCACTACATTATCAAGAAAGACGTGAGAAACACTGTGTGTATATATGTACGGCAGGGTCCTCGCGCTGTTGCCGTGACGCTAGGGCCTCTCGTTCTCGAACGCTGGGATCTTGGCGGCGGCGTCGCGCAGCCAGACGACATGCTTCGGCCTCCCGCTCTCGTACGGCAGTATCTTGGCGGCGTCGTCGCGCAGCTTCACGGAGCGCTTCTGCCTCGCGGTCTCGCACATCGGGATTCTGTCTGCGAGCACGCGCTGCCGCCGCTCTGTGGCCTTATCCATCGGTCAACTCCGAGCGCGCGCCAACAGCGAACGGATTTTATCACAACGTTCCCCGCCATCTAGTAAACAATCCAAGAACTAAACTAGAGGCAGCTACGCCATCTAGTAAACAATGCAAGAACTAAACTAGAGGTGACTACATACATACGCCGAGGATGGACAGACCAACGCCTTAAGCAGCTTCGCCCCTAAAAAGGGGTGCCTTGTGTAAGTGTCGCTGAGGCGCGGAAAAGTCAACTGCGAGTTCCTTAGTGAGGTGTATCATACCTTGCCTCCACGATTGGAGGCATTGCAAGATTTCCGCATCTCACCTGGTTTTGCATTGCCTCCGTGATCAGTCCACATTTGCCCTTGCGACGCTGTCGTGTGATGACGTCATAACGACGTCACGAATTTTGGCAATATGAGAGCTAATCGTGACGTCATATGGTGTCGTCATCACGCGATTATTTTCCACAACACTCGTGTTGGCGCCGACAACGAATTTTTCCCGTTTAATGAGACATCTAACGTTTTCGCCTGGATTGAAAAATAATTTACTGAAACGTTAAATTAACCGAGTGATCAAAGCCAGGGCTTCACGTTTCACCTTTTCCGGTTGACCGGAGTGTTTGGCCGGTGATGATTTTAAATATACTTTCAGGAGCTTGTCCATACGTTTTCAGGCAACAGTCTACCAAAGTGCAAAGATGGCGGAGGAGCGTACCTCGGCTGATTCCTAACGAGGTCTTCCAAGGTCCTGTTAATGAAAGTCGGCGACTTGAGAAGTATCCTGGAGTTGTCCCGCATGGACGAAGGGTGGCTCCCCATGTCCACGACGATCCCCACGTACTGAAATGCAGAGCCAGTTGCAAGCGACATTGGCAGCATTTTAACGGGAAAGCGGATACGCACGCCGCATGCACTGTGTTTATCATCGGAAGTCCTAAACATGAGCTGCACTAGTGGCAATTGCAAGTTAACGTTGTAGACATAGTAGATGGCTTGACGACGCTGCAAATACGGTCAATATACGGTTATTTGTCGGGAAATAGTTGCCACATGAGAAGCTAAAGACACAAAGGCGCAAGTTTATACAGAGCTCAATATATATAAAGACACCGAAACTTACCTGCAAAATAGTCTATTCTAAGTTGGTGACTATAAGCACTCTGTAATGTTCAACGTACCGCGCCTAATCTAATACTGCCCTGAATGCGCGTGCTGTAGAATAATTTGCTAATTACAGAGCTTGGTGGATTGAAAAAATACGGCTTGGAAATACGGCTTGGAAAAAATACGGCGATTGGAAAAATATGGTCTTTCACACATGCAGAGCACGAGCTCGTTTTTGTAATACTAGGCCCAAATAAACTGGAAAACCCACTAGAGGTTGTTAATAGAGTGAAAAAATTCTGGCTGTTTACAAGCTGCACAACGTGCATTGGCATTCTCAAAGTTACTCTGTGTTATTTTTCAGAGCAACGTACAAAGGAGGTTAACAATCGCCTAACACGCCTCGTGTAATTTGCTCCCCTTTGCAAGAGCCGCTACACAATGAAGGCATCCGTGCCTCATGCGCTTACACAACATCGATTGGGCATAAACAATCGAAGGAGAATAGACAGGCATGTTACTTGAGTGAAATAGCGTAAGAAAAAAAAAAAGAAATTGACCCCAAAACTTGGGCGGCTCACCTTTCGCATCTTCATGGGAATTTCTTTCGCCATCTTCGTCATGTACCTGTCAGTTCCCATGATCGTCTTGTCCGGGAGGCTCAAGCTCTGAAGCGACAAAAACGTATGAAAGATTAGGCCCATTGTAGGACAGTGAGACTCTTGGCACAATCACGAAAGATGCTCAGAGGTAACCATTTTCGCTCTGCCTCTAGACACTCGTTCATCGCGCACATTTCTTTTGTATCACCGTCCCTCTGGCAGTTAAAATCAACGTTACTAGAATTCTAGTAACGTTGGTTAAAATCAAGATGCGAAGCAGCTAACGGCGGAATTCAATCCGGTGGTGTGTGGCGTGCAAGGTGCCCGTGATGAACGGAACTAAGTCGACTCATGCGCTGCTTTGGATGCCACTCATGGTTCCATTTAGTGGGAGGTGGGATAATTTTTTTCTTCTTGCAATCAATCTTTAGTGATGAACCTATGATCGACAAATAAAAAAAAATAATTTTTTTATAAAGCTACATATCCTAAGCCGTTCGCGTTGTAATACCGTCGTCTATTAAGTTGATCTCGGTGGGACTGGCGCCAAACGATCGCATTATTCGGCGGACGGAATAAAAATATCCGGGGTGCTCGCGTAAGTGTCAATAAAAGTTTATCCAATCCAATCCAATCGCGTAAGTGTCCGATCACTGTTTCAGCTCTGTGTATTTTACCCGATTCTCTAACGACCGTTTTCTGTTTCTAACAACCATGTATGGTTTTATGGTTTCTTAGATAAAAAATTACGTTGACACAAATATCACGCACAAATGATCTGGAAATGTATGGTACTAGTATTCTTCCTATTAGAATGGCCAATCAGAAATAAATGCTGCGAACCTTCCCTCCTCAATCACCTAAGAAGGGTGCCAAGTCTGCCCGGTACCTAAAGGTCGAAGTAAAACGCCCACCGTCAGCAAAAAAAAAAAAAAAAAAAAAAGAAAACCTCCGCGCCGTTGCTTATTGATAACCAAGTACCATCTGCCGACCACCTGGGTTTAACCTCGCCTAGCTGCGCAAGCGCCGAGTAACAGCCGCACCCTCAAGCCACGCCCACAGATGGAGACACTTCGCGAAGCGGCCGGGCCGAATGTGCCCGGCGTGGCGCGAACCGAGCACGAGCGACGAAAGTTCCGCGCTTCTACCGGGTTGTCACAGCCAAGCTTGAACATTAGTTTTCGGTGCTGGTGTTAGGACACGTTTGCACGTTCTTTGAATGACTGTGGTTTGACTCTACTCTGTGCCCAAGGAAGGCCACGTTAAGTCCCTAATATCGTCCAGCAGCTTTGCGTTTTTAAAGCTTTGCATGGCTAATGTAAACTCCCCCTCCCCCTTTTTTTTACACACATTTGACCGCGTCCCAACATGCAGGTTTTCGACGATAATGATGGTCGAGGAGTCCTGGCTGCTTCAGATCTTTACCCCCCGGTAAGCCAGGGACCAAATGTGAACGCCGTTAGAAGCACGTCATTGCTTCATTTTCAATTTTGCATCCATCGCGAAGTTTTTCTTTCAAACACGTGACCAACAGGGAGGGAGGTGGGTGTTAATTGCGCTGATACTGCCCAGCCTTGATGTAACGATTCTGTGAACAGCTATGCTCGCTGCTACGACAAGCAGGGAGGGAGGATGCGAACCTTGACGAGGTTCTTGGCGAAGGTGACGACGCTGCTGGCGTGGTTGGAAGCGTCGGTCCCGCCGGCGATCTGGGCGCCCACCTTGAGCGACGTGGTTCACGGCCTCCGTGTACCAGTTGACCATCTTGTTGAGGTGCACGTCAGCTCTTGCGCAAGAACACGTCCGGCTCGTCCAACTGCGCATGCGCGACCATAGTTTCGTCACGTGACGCGTCTAGTACCGCTTTCGTTCACTAGCTGAGCACTTCAAAAATGTTTCCAGCACTGAACTAAAAAAAAAGAACACGTACCGCCACTGCCGGGTACATAAATACTGGGTGCATTGGTTTGTTCGAATGTCCGCATTGGCATTGGTTTGTCCGAAATTCTAAACTTGCAATACAAAGAATCTTTACGCCCCTTGAGGCGCGCTGAATTTGGGCATGTACCACGGGTCTCGCATTGACTATATGGCTTTCAGGTGGCGCAGTCTACGCTCCCTCATGTGTTTAAAAGAATGTCACCTGACTGTAGCGAATTTATGTATACTTTCGAGTAATGACTTGCAAGCGCTTTTTGAATAAGGATTGCTATCACCTGGTCTTTTACCTTATTTGGTTACGTAACGCATGTTGTCTCCATTTTATAGGTGTTATTCAACAGATACTACTGCGGTTACTTTTTGTGTCCATGTCCTAAGCTTCCGTAATTATTAAACTAGTATCGCAACTGCAAAAGCTTTTTTTGTACGCTGTAGTTATTAACTTCTCTAAGTGCGCCCCCCCCCCCTCCCTCTGCGTACTGGGAGGTTAGACTGGTCGAGCAACATGTATGTAGGTATTTCCCCACATCTTACGTGCAACTTTTGTGCTTCCAACTTCAAATTTTCGCATTTTATTGTTTAGATTTTCTTGAGAGGGTGGAATGGTGAGGAATTTTACGCCGGTTACAATTACGTACCGGAAATCGGCCGGAGAGAGGCACATATCCACGTCTAGAAATGTGATAATAAAATATCGCGGTCCATGAGAGAGAGAGAGAGAGAGAGAGAGAATTATTGAAGCAGAAAAGGAAAGGGGTAATTTGCAGCTTCTATAATTGGGGCCCTTTGTCCAGGACTCTACTGGCCTTAGCCGCCCGCCGGACTTGATCCAGAAGTGCGAGCTGCACTCCCGGGTCTGAGCTGGCCAGTTGTGCCTTTTACTGCTCCATACCAGGTGTCAGAGTTTTGCCGAGAAAATTGGCTAACTCACTTGATTTACGATCGTACCCCCACCATATGCGGTAGACTCGGAGTCGGCCTACCGCCTTACCACGGACACACGGCCGTAAAGCGTTCGCTGTATCACGTGTAACTTCAGTAGATCCAGAGAAAATACGTCCGTATGAATTTCTAATGTTGGTGGCCTCTTCCCCATTAAGGTATCTGTGAGGTGTTCCACATTTTTTTCGCGTGAAACGTCGGCGAGCGAGAATATCCCCAGTTAGAATTCGGTATGGTCAACGAAAGAGAGGGATTATCCGCTCGGTTGCAAAACGCGCGAACTAGAGCGTGCGTCCTTTCGTTGCCTTCGAGCCCTGCGTCATCCAGGCACCAGACCAAGCGATGGTGGTGAGTATAAGTTCCACGTAAGCAGGAGGCATTGGACATTCAGAGAAAGGCTCCCTTGCCTGGACAGGTTATATTGATCGTGGTTGTTGGCGTCCGTGAGCTAGACACATTTAGACGCGTTCGTGAACTACATGCAGCAAGTGCGTAAAGTAAGCTGAGTTACACGACATATCAACAAGCATAAGAGAGGGCAAGTTTTACACGGACATAAAAAAAGGAACAAGGCAAGTAATCGCTTTTCCGGGTTTCACAGAAGATTATTGAGATCCAACAGACAATAATACCAAGGAAAGTATAGAGGAAGCCATTAGACCGAATCGTAATTTAAATGTGAAGAAACAAAAGTGGGTGAAAAGATAACTCGCCGTGGGCAGGAACCGATCCTGTGACCTTCAAATAACGCGTTCGATGCTATTTTCTCTTTTTCCCTCTCTCTTCTCTTGTGTCAGTGTTTGCACGTATAACCTCCTTTAATAACGAATCCTTCCAACTAGCTCATATTTATCTCGGTCATAGCTTACTGTATCTACAAATTCCCCATGTGGTTCGCACATTCCTTGTTACTCAACATCGCAAAACGCAGCGCTGATGACATAATATATCAAGATAAATGGCATAACCAGGCTACAGTGGTTTTTATTTATTTAGAAAGCCTGCCCTTGGTACAGTGATTCGCGGTATCAAATACAGAAAAGCAAATTTGTCTCGCGTGTAAAGTGAAACAGTGAGCGATAGTAACGTCATTGATCCAGCGGTCGAGGTCCGGTGGTCGGCCATGCCGGGAGCTTGTTGCCCGGAGGTGGCGAAGGTGGCTTAAGTGCAGGCCAATACAAGTCTCGCCACAACTCAGTCGCATGACGGAATGGAGCGTCTTAAAACGGGCACTATATCGTATAATACGGGTCGCGGTAAAGTTGCGCCAAGAGTGGGGTCATAAATATGGTAAGCGAAACCACGGCAGGTATAATACTTGGGCGGACCATTCGCCTAAATTCGTACTGGAATCTCCGTAAAGTGTCCTTAACTACGCTATAGGAAAAAAGAGACCATATGTTACTCTTAGTGGTGAATCCCAGCTCAAAGTATAGATGGATATTTTCAAAGACACACTTTGACTCTTTTGGGCGCCACACTACTCCACGAAGAGGGCATATTTATCAACGAACTGAGTTTACGTGTATCTAATAAAAGAGTAATATACGTGGTCATAGGTCGGAAAAGGGGAAAGAAAAAGATCGCTCAGTCACATAAGCTTAGGTATATATTTCGCGCTTAGGAGGGCTCACTCGAACTAAGGTTCACCAAACTGAATCACCAAACTTTCCCTCAACCGGAGTCTCCCGGACTCGGACTCACCCAAGTATCACTCACCTGAATTCACTCACGCTCGGACGACTCGGATTGAGTCTAAAGTGAGACGACTTGTGAGCAAATTTACCGACTCATTTGCGTGGCAAGTCAGAACTAACAAAAAAAACAGTCGAATGACTCTTCTTTCTCAGAGAGTAGCACAGAATAATGATGATAATGATGAGAATGTTGTAGTTGGCCAGCGGATTTAAGCCTTGCGAGGTTTTAAGGCAATCGCCCCGCCCGGTTTCCTCCTTCCAAATTATGTTGAAATAATGTCCTCTTTAAAGCCAAGCTTGCCCATGCTACCAGGAAGTCTGCGCCGCGCACGGACCATGCAATGCACATGCCGGAGGTGAGCTATCCCACACACACACAGTTTCGCCGCACCATACACGCAGTGTACAGTGTAGCACGCTCTAAACATCGCACGCCAGTGCGACATCATGCATAGATTACGCGTGCGGTGTACAGCAGCGTACCGCAACGACGAACTTGTCGACCTCCTCGGGATCGGGCTCGATGGTGAGCTTGGCCAAGGCGTGGATGCCCAGAAGGCGACACATCTTCGCCGCTGCCGTCCACACGGCGTCGTAGTCGCTGGCGTCCGAGGAGTCCGCGAAAGGCCAGCCACTCAGGCCGGCGTCGTCTTTGATGCTGTTGAACTCCTTGTTCGTGTTCCCCGAGGGCTTGGATGCTGCCGCCCGATGAGGAGACGGAAACGAGCGTCGCCACATCAGTGGCAGGAACCGAACCTGTGACCTTCGAATAACGCGTTCGATGCTATTTTCTCTCTTTCCCTCTCTCTTCTCTTGTGTCAGTGTTTGCACATATATAACCTCCTTTAATAACGAATCCTTCCAACTAGCTCAAATTTCTCTCGTTCATAGCTTACTGTACCTACAATTTCACCATGTGGTGCGCACATTCGTTCCTTGTTACTCAACATCGCAAAACGCAGCGCTCATATCATGCTATGTCAAGATAAACGCCGCAAGCAGGCTACTGTGCTTTTTATTTACTTAGAAAGCCTGCCATTGGTATAGTGATTCGCGGTATCAAATACACACAAGCAAATATGTCTCGCGTGTAAAGTGAAACAGTGAGCGATAGTAAGTGCCATTGATCCAGCGGTCGAGGTACGGTGGTCGGCCATGCCTGGAGCTTGTTGCCCGGAGGTGGCGAAGGTGGTTTAAGTGCAGGCCAATACAAGTTCCGCAACAAGTGTATTGCAGTCGCATGACGGATTGGAGCGTCTTAAAACGGGTACTACTCTATCATACGGGTCGCGGTAAGGTTGCGCCCACTGTGGGGTCGCAAATGGGGTAAGCGGAACGCCAGCAGTTAGTGGCAATTCCATATTGCAAAGTAGAAGGCTCTCTTTAAAGACGCACCTTAACTCTTTTGTGCGCCACACCACTCTGCGAAGAGAGCATGATGATCTACGAAGAGAGCTTACGGGTATCTAATAAAAGAGTAATATACGTGGCCATAGGTCGGAAAAAAAAAGGATCGCTCAGTCACAAGAACCCAGGTATATATTTCGCGCTTAGGGCTCACTCCAACTAACTAGGACTCACCAAACTTTTGTTCAACCGGAGTCCCCCGGACTCAGACTCATTAAAGTATAACTCGTGCGGATTCACTCAGACTCGGACAACTGGATTGGATTGAGTCTGAATGAGTCGGCTCGTGAGTGAATTTGCCGACTCATTTACGTGGAAAGTCAGAACAAAAAAAAAGTAAAATGACTCTTCTTTCTTAAAGAGTAGCACCGAATAATGATGATGCAGTGATAATTATGAGCATGTTGTAGTTGGCCAGCAGATTCAAGCCTTGCGAGAGTCCTTTTTAATGCCAAGCTTGCCCATGCTACCAGGAAGTCACGCGCCGCGCATGGACCAATGCACATGCCGGAAGTCCCACACACACAGAGTTTCGCAGCACCATGCACGCAGTGCACAGTCTACCACGCTCTAAACATCGCACGCCAGTGCGACATCATAGATTATGCGCGTGGTGTACAGCAGCGTACCGCAACGACGAACTTGTCGACCTCCTCGGGATCGGGCTCGACGGTGAGCTTGGCCAAGGCGTGGATGCCCAGAAGCCGACACATCTTCGCCGCTGCCGTCCACACGGCGTCGTAGTCGCTGGCGTCCGAGGAGTCCGCGAAAGGCCAGCCACT